ACCTGATCTAATACCTGAAAAAGACCACACATCGGATGTAGCAACACTGCTCGGTTCCTAAACCGCGTTAATTGAAATAGGGATTTACCCTGTATATTCTAAACGTTCATATTTCTCAGTAGGTTTGTTGTCAAATTTGGCAAGAGCATTTTCTAGAACTAATAACGAAGGAAATATGAAAAGTTGCGCGATTAAACTCAAAGCAAAGTCTGCTTTTCTTGCCAAGCAGTTGGCCAAATGTTTCGTAATTAACGGAAATAGCTGAGCTAGTGAAAATAGAAGAAAAAACACGTTAAAGTTAAAAAACAAGAATCCCTTCTCGTGTGCATTTTGGCGCGTTTGACATCTGATATCCGCATAAAATGTTTTTACTAATTTGTTAAATTGGTAGCATCTGTTTTCTTTCTTGCATATTTGACAACGACGAACAAATTGAAATTACAGAGAGGGTGCAGCTACGGCTACGTTTATTTGAGTTTAAATTGGCTGGATCTTTTTATTAAAGTTGCTAAAATAAATAAAGTTACTAAAATGATTATATTATTAATTTCGCACTGCAAAGTATTAAACAAAAATTATAACTTATTAAATAACATTTCACATCAAAAGGTATTCTTCCTTCACAAATCCTTTAAAATCATTTTTAATTTTTTTCAATATCCAGGAATCTTCAAGAAATCGTTTGGAATGTTTGGTTTGTGTTAAAATTATTGAAAAAATGTAAAAACGATTTTAAAGAAACATAGTACTTTTAAATGAAACTAGGTGTTCTGTAAGAAAAATATTTTATAATGTAGGGTGTCAGTTATTCCCCAAGTTGTTTTTTTACTTGGATATTATCTAAATTATTTGTTACAGTTTATTATCACCGAATGAAATAATATATAAAACTTAAACCAAAGGAAACTTAAATATTAGTTAAAATATCGTGGGTACCTACTTAAAAAAATCAGATTTAATTTAATAAGATAATTTTTACCAAAAAATGATATTTTTATAGAAAAATTATTGCAGAATCGTATGTATATAGAAGAAAAATCGAACAAAATTGATTTTTCATTACAGCGCCATCTATTACAAATATGAAAAAATGTTTTAGACAAAATCTACCTATTTTTTAGTCGAATCGAATCGAAAAAATAGGGTGTTCCATTGGAAATTTTAAAGTTACCCCCTGTTCCCCCTATAAGGAGGAGAGGATGAGGACCAATTTTATAAAGTACTGATTTCCCCCCTCGAATCATTTAATTTTTATTTTAAACATTTTTTTGTAAAATGCATACTAACTGCGATATTTCAAAGTTTCAAGTTAAATGACTCACCCTGTATGAGGCGTAACACTGGCGTAACTGAAAATTTGCCTCTTGTGTTTTTATTAGTGCTGTACACTTTAGCCGGTTAAGCCCGTCAAAAAAGTTAGCTAAGTTAATTAGCTAGCTAACTGATCAGCTTAGCTAATTTAACCGGTTAACTAAATTATTTAGCTGGCGGCTTAACCGGTTAATTTAGCTTAGCTCAGCTAATTAGCTAACGGCTAACTGGCTAATTTTTTTAAGCTATATAATGATTTCTTATTCACAGACAGGTTAAAAAACTAATAATATTGATGTTGCTTTTATGACAAACAATAATAGAGTAATTTATTAGGTTAAATAATATTTTACATTTTATTTATAAAAATGGCTTTTAAATTAATTGTTAATTTTTTTTTCAGTTATATTTCTATTTTGGAAAAGGAAAATTAATAAATTTGCATTTTCGGGAAGTAAGCAGTTCCGTTTAGAGCTTATAATATTTCCGGCTGAGGTGCCAGATGACAGATGACAGATGTCAAGTTGACATAGCTGATGACAAATGTGACGGATGAAAATTGACATATGACACAACACAGCTGACAGATGACAGGTGACAGATGAAAGGTGACAGATGACAGACGAAATGTGACAGATGACAATTGACAGATGACAGATTACAGTTCACCGGTTAAATTAGTTAAGCTGATCAGTTAGCTAGCTAATTAACTTAGCTAACTTTTTTGGCCGGCTTAACCGGCTAAATTGTACAGCACTAGTTTTTACCTTAAAAAAAATAGGCAAACTTTTCAAACGTATTGTTTAGATAAATTATATGAGAGGAGCATTTGTTTTTGCTGATTTTTAAAGTGCACCATATGATTTCCGAGATTATCAAATATTAAGGACCCTTTTAGGATAAAAATAAGATGTCATTTTTCAGTTAGGCTGGTGTTGCATTATACGCCTCATATATTTTTTTAGAAAATTTACGCTCTAAAAAAATGTTTTTTGTTTTTTTTGTAAAGCCATTCATTAAAATGAAATTTAATAAATCATCTAAAAAAAAGTTCAAAAGGAAAGTATGTCAAAATTTAAAAATATTACTGTGCGAAAGTGCCAAGTGTTACTACATATGCAAAAGAAAAAGGAGGACACAAACAGATAAGTATCAGAGCATAAAACCTCAAAATTTAATTTTCAATATTTACTGATATTGTCTAACAACCCCCCCTGGGGGCTAAGCTGCATAAAATATAAGTCGGTGCAGGAGGGGGATGCAATCAAAACGTAAAAATGTATCATTATTTAGGCAAACGTTGACTTAATGGTTCAACGACAATAAAATATTTTTTTCAAAATTGTTTTTAAATTGTTTACAATAACTAGAGATGGGATTTTAGTGTTATTACCTGTTTGTCTACGCTAATCATAACTTTAGGTGCAATGGAATATAATCCGTTTTAAAAAAAATTATTTCATTTGAGCCTAATTTTATTTTACCTATTTTACCTAAATTTTCATATGTAAGAGAAATGGACCTAATTTTTACATTTTCCTACCTAAACTAGGGTAATTTTACCTATTTCACCTAAATTCTTATTTTTAACAGAAATAAACAAAATTTTCAAATTTTACTATCAAAAAACATTTTTGTAATATTGGGGTTGTATTCAGATGACATAATTGCAACTAAAAACATTTCCGTCATATTAAATGTGAATTTGTTATTTTCCGGAATTAAATGCTTATTAACAAAAACATTTTAAATGTGCCACCGCATTCAAAAATTATAAAATTTATGATGGTAGGTACCTATTATAATATTTTTACAAGATATTTACTCTCTAAAAATGAAACAGTGGATTTTCACTGATTGACAGTGCATATTAACTATTTGCCGCAGTGATAAGTATACCACTAGCAATTAGTGAATACTCACTTTTTCATGTAGCGATTTCTTCACTGTACAAATTAGTAAAATAGGTTTAGTTCAAAAAAGTTAAAATTTCACTATTTTATGTCGAGAGTTCCGGAAAAGTAGTGATAATAAAAAACACTAATTTGAAGAAGTTAAAATTTCACTAATTTATATTGAAAAACACTAATTTTACAGTGAATAATAATTCACTGACGGAAATAGTGAAAATTTCACTGTTTCACTTTTAGAGAGTACGTCAGTTATTTTTAAATTTTTTAAATCATAAAAATCTTGTTCAATAAAATTTTATACAATAATAAATTTAATTATTTTACCACCTAAAAGTGGCTTTCCAGTACTTATTTTCGTTAATCACGTACCTAATTTAAGAAATTTCTTACCTAAAACAAGAAAAAACTTGACCTATTTATGTACCTATTTTTATATATTTTGCAATCTAAAATCTCATCTCTAACAATAACTCCATTCTAATAGGAATCGCGAGTTGATTATAAAAATAATTAAATTTCGTACCAAGAAAAATTTTGATTTTTTGAGAATTTTCCTTTTGCCTTGGACAGCATCGTATTTCTACATCTCATCTATATACACTGCGCGTCAAAATTAACGCATAACAAGTAAAAAAAATCCAACTCTAAAACGCCTTTACCAATCTTTATAAAATTTTGTCTAAAAATACTTCAACTTATATCTCAGTTTACGTGTTTGAAGGTTTTTCGAGAAAATATCCTTAAAGGCCTTTTATTTAATAATAAAAAATGCTCGAAAAAAAACTTATAGGGAAATTTATATTTAAGTAAATAAAAAATATATTGTGAAAGACCGTATTTTTGTTAGTACCTATACCCTGAAAATTTTGTAAAAATCAAACGGTAACGATTCAAAGTCGTCAAAAATTACCACTTTTCAGCAAAATAATAAAAAAGGGGTAATTTTTACCGACGAAGCGTTGTATCTTCGTTACTGTTCGTTTGATTTCTACAAAATTTTCAGGGTATACTAACGAAAACACAGTCTTTAACAGCATATTTTTTATTTACTTATTCAATTTTTCTAGAAATTTACAAATTTTTACGGATAAGTAATATGTATCCGTACACTGATATCAAGAAAAATGTGAATTTCCGACGCTGATTATAATCATAATATTATGATTATAATAATTATTCGTTTTATTTTAATTTAGTAAGAATATTCTACCGAGCCGAAAAAAAAACATATTTGATAAATACATAACTTTCGTTTTATAAAACTATAATTTTGTATTTTATCTTTATAAATCATTCATTATTTTGTAATTGGATATTTTCAATGGACTCCTTTTTGCAATAAAGACCCAACCGTCAGTATATTTAACGCTAACGTTTATTTTTTTAAATCAATTTAATTTAATTCAATATTTAGTTTTAAAGGATTTTTTTTTTAATTAAAATATTGTTAAGTTGTTGATTGCTATTTTTTTCAAATCATTTTCCACAAGAAAGACAATATTTTGAAGGCCAGGAAAAAACCGGGAAAAAACGGTTTCGACCCTTTAAAACCATACTTCTGCAATCACTGCCTCAATTGCATATGAAAATTTGCTATTTGCTAGTAAAAGTGCTAAAATTGGTCAAAACGTGCATTTAAAATAAAGATTTTCTGAATTTTACTTTTTGTTTTATATAGGTAATATTTAAAGATAAAACATGCTTGTTATTCACTCGAGTGACTCAAACACTTGCATATGGCTCGTGAATTATATCTTTTCATGGCGCATAACTTACCGTACAGTTCCAGGCTGTTTTCCTGTTGTTTTAGGACGATTTCGCCGCCTGCTGCTGTACCTCCTTTCATATAAACGTGACTGTTTCTCGCAAGAACTTTCCAAAGCTTCATTTTCCACACTTCGTTACGTCTCTTACTTAATTTGCAGTTCTTTTGTTAGAGTTGAGCGGCTCTCGAGTGCACCGGTGGCATGTTTGCTTCTTGCAAGGAAACTCTTTTCTTTTTGGGTGGTTTTTCGTTTATTTATCTTTATTGTGCTTTTCCAGACGGGATGTATTAATATGACTTGTGTGCTTCCGACTTTATTGTTGTCTTTTATGACGGGTGTGTAAAGTTTTGCTTTTCTTTTTCGGCTGAAAGGAATATAAATATCATAAGGAACTCTTAAAATTTACAAACATAATATAAAAATTAATTAGTTTTTAAATATTTTAGAGCAATTTTATTTTTCTATTTCTAAAAGGGCATATATAACAGTCTACCCATGATTTTTTTACATATACTACTATAGTTTGTGAAAATCGTAGACTTTAAGGTAGGTATAACTTATACCTACCTTTAACTTTCTTATACCGTATAAGAAAGTTAAATTTATATTTTTAATACCTATATAAGAAGAAAAGTGATCTGTTAAATTTAGTACTTAAAACTTAAGCACTGATATTGGGTTGGGTATTGATTGTTAAAAGTAATACATCCTAAATATCAAGGATTTATATTTTATTTTATAGTAATAATTTATTACTTTTTTAAAATAGAATACATTTTAAGTTATATTATTATGTAAATGTAAATGTGGTATTCAATACCCTATGGAACGCCGTTGTATTTTTTAATCAGGAATTTTTGTTGCAATTCCAACTGCTAGTCATATTTTTAATTGTATCGATTATTTTAAACAATATTTATAACTCAACTAATTTTATACTCAAAAATAATGTGGAATTAAAAATATCAAAGTGTCACTAAAATTAAAGTCAATTTTTAATTCAAAGTGATATTTGTAATTCACAGGAATTATCGATATCAAAGTGACTAGAAAATTCAAGTTAATTTTTAATTCAAACTGATATTCATAATTCGCATGAATTATGAATATCAACTTGAATAATAGAATATTGTCACATAATTATAATTTATTTATAATCATAAAAAATTAGGATATTTTAAATACTTATATACAAAAATCTCATTTACATACATTAATATATTAATACATATGTATACTTATATGTATAGGTATTATAAAGTGTATTTTTCAATAATGTAATCCATAATTTTTTTTTCATTTCATAATCGAATAATTGTAAATTGTATCTAGTATCTAGGAATATTTGAAATTAATAAATAAAATTAAAACATTTTTTTTTACTTTTTAATCAATTTCTATTGATTATATTATATTTAATTTGAAACATTTGAAACATGACAAACTTGTAAGAAATTAATTCAGTCGGTAAAAGTTCGTGGTCTCTGATGTATGATTCTGCTGCCTACACGGAGAAAAAAATATAATAAATGATATTAGAAATATAATACTATTTATTATATTTTACGTTAAATATAGTGACAGCTAAATCTTATGATAAATTTTAGTATGAAAATATAATTAAGATATGTTGTAAATATAATAATATTTGATGTAAAACCGCTTTAACATATTACTTAATTTGTATAAAATATTAATAAGTTAAAAGTGTAAAATTAATAAATGATATAATACTATTTAAAACAGTATAGGTACTTTCTATTATATAAATTTTAATATGCGTTTTTAACATACATTTTTCTCCGTGTAGTCCCCGCAGCCTCTGAACTTTTAAGCGTTTGGCTCACTAGTATATATGCGCGAGCGCCGCCTATCTTTCCAATAAATATTCTCAATTTTTCATTAAAAACTCGTCATATTTGTGGCGTAGAAAAAGTACTATTAAATAATACAAATTTTGAATTTTAGCTATTCAATTATTCTTTCGTCCAGAAGAGATTTTTTAAGTTTTAAGTGGTAGTTTAGAAATGTCAGATGACGGACATAAAATAGTTTGAATTCTAATATACACTGTTATATATAAAAATCAGATTTGTTAACAATTCTAATATACACTGTTATAGGAGGTGTGTTCAGAAATTATGGGGAATTTTCGTTTTTTGAAACAAATATTTATTTATTCGTCTACATTAATGTTGTCGCCATTGGATATTATGCTCTTCTTCCAATACTCGAAACACTTCTAAAACTCGATCTTTGAGATAGCCTTTAGTTCTTTCAGCGATGCGCTTTTAATGTCATCCATGCTTGCAAAACGACGGCCCTTTAAGGTTCTCTTTATTTTTGGGAATAGGAACAAGTCAGACAGAGGCATGTCTGGCGAATATGGAGGTTGGGGCATCATTACAGTATTGTTTTTGGCCAAAAATGTTGTTCAAAATTAAACAATTTTAGAACAAATTTTGCTGCCACGCTTTTCATACCCAAAACATTCGAAAAAATTTGATTTCAGATTTGTTAACATGAGTTTGTAGTTTGTTAATTTTATTTTGTAAAATTTTAACATAATTTTTTGTAGAAAACAAGGGTTTTTAATTATTTTAACAAAGGAAAATATTTTAGCGAAAGTTTTGTAAAGGTAATGTACATTTTGTAAGCATTTCAATCAATCAATCAAAACATTTCCCATTTAGAATACGCATTAACAAGTTTAACTAACTGTTCGGAACACAATCGAAATTATTATTCCTCGTGAATGATTTCAAAACCTTTAAGAATTTTAAACTAATTCTTAATGAAAATAAACAGAAAATTATTAAAAATAGAGATAATTGTTATTTTTTTTTCAAATTTCAGTTAAAAAAGAAACATTAAATATTTTTATACTATAGTCAAAGATTAAATATACTTTTCTTCAGAAGTGTGTTTAATCCAGGCCCGTTCCTGGCGAGCGTGCAGTGCGTGCACGCACGCAGGCGCAACATTTCAGGGGCGCAAAATCAAAGAGTCAATCAGTACTTTGTAACGATAAACTTTCTTGCATATGATACTTAAACATACATTGGATAATTTTCTGCCTTTTTTTTGCGTCGGCCGCTTTTTTTTTCGGTCGCTATAAAACGCCTTTTGCAGCTTTGATATTGGCTGCTTATTTTGTTTTGATATGAGGATCAAAATAAAAGGAGAGAAATGGTCATATTATCTTTAGTATTTGTTTGATAGTTGCAGTTGACGGTAGAAAAGTTTAACAGTAGTAACTCTCTAAAATAGAATTAGTCAAAAATGACTAATTCAATTAGTCTAATAATTATATAATTGAAAATAATTATTAGTCGCTGCTTTTTAGCTATTGCAATTAGACTCTAATTGCAATAGCTAAAAAGCAGCGACTAATAATTATTTTCAATAGCAATTTGTATCCCGGATATTTAGCAGTCAATCCTATGTAAAATTGTCCGCTGAATCTGAAAATTTCGTCAAAAGTTATAAAACTTGAACGTTTTTGAGATTTAGTAAATTTTCCATATAATATGGTATTGACTATATCTTAAAAATTGCTTTACTTTTATAATTTTTGACGGAATTTTCAGATTCAGGGGACAATTTTACATAATAATAAGCTGTTAAATGCCCGGGATACAAATTGCTGTGGACTAAAGTTATTATTGACTGCTTTTTTACTTTGAAGAGAGTAGAGAGTACGTCACTAAAAACCAGTTGTAGTTATTATATTGTTTAGATTGATTTTTTTTTGTTTTCTTTAGAGTATTTTTATCACTGACTATTTCCCTCGTCTTAATTTCCACCAATCACAAACGCTCAATTTTGAACTACAAATGGTTTCTAGGTGGAAAAATTTCATGACAGCACCTGCCAGCAGTTTTTTCGAGTTTACCAGCGGCAAAACTTGACAGCTGTTGTCCAAAAATTGCAATTTATATTTTAATTGTTAACTGTTACTCATGAAATAGTCTTGTCAAATACCATTCGGGCGTCTAACTTTTCCTGTAAAAAAAATCGTTAAAACATAATGCTAAGTAATATATTTTAACAAAATGCATTCGTGCAGGTGCATAAATCCTCGTGTTCGATTTGGATTTTTGTTGCCACCAGCACTCATGCTTCTTGTTAAAATATTACTTAGCAACGTGTTTTTTCGATTTATTTCGGAAAAAATAGATGCCCTTATGATATAACTTGTTTGTTTGGTAATTTAATAAATATTTTTAATACTTAATTTAAGCGTTTTTTTTACATTTTCAATTACATTTTGCCAGTTTGTCGCAAAATATATATTTTTTAAATTTTACGGCTTATTTTAATATTTAATGTATTATATTTAAATATAAAAAGGGCGCACCAACGAATGCTGCACGCAGGCGCCAGACACCCCAGGAACGGGCCTGGTTTAATCTTTGCTATAGTATAAAATACTAGAAAAAATGTGCTGCTTTATATATAAAGCAGCACATTTTTTCTAGTATTTTAACTCTCTGCTTATAATTTGACAAATAGTTATTTATGTCTTTATGCGCCGAGTTTAAAGTTTGAGCGAAGTACAAAAAGACACTTCCTGACCGAATGGCATGCAAAATTTTATCTTTTAGGAAATTTTATTTGTCAAACGATATATTAAACGTGCAATTAAAGTAATATTTATTAAAAGCAAAAAGTAAGGTTATTTAATTGGATAAATCTGACAGAAGTCGAATTTTTATTAGTCCAAAGTATTAAATAGGTAACGCTGGGCCAAAAATAACCTAACCCGATTGGTCTAAATCATTATTTCTACTCCCACCTTTAAAACGTCCTTTATCGTACATGTTTCCATGACACTAAGTGACCTTTTAAATACATATTGACAAGTTGTGGCTTTACGGCGCTTTAGTCACGGGCTGAAGTTAGCAACAGGTTTTTAGTCACGGTCTGGAGTTAGTTGACAGTCGTTAAATGTCATACAATCGTTAAAATAAAGTGCCTTTCTTGTAAAATAATACTAAATGTGAAAATTATTTTATTATCCCAATACAAAAATATTAAATAGTTTCTTAACGCCAATATTTGAAAAGTTTATATGAACATTGTACTGACCTTTTAATTTCGCCGGCAGTAAACTATAACTTAAATTCGGGCACGGACTCTACTGTAAAGTCCTCATAAAACATTTCCTTTACTTTCACTGTGAAAAACTGTCAATTTTCAATATACATTTCGATTTATAATCTTTATAATTGAGTTTATAAAATGTAAAAATGTGACATTTGACAGTTTCCCCTGTTGTTTCATAGATGGCGCTCTATACAAATTTTTGATTTAAATCATTTTAAGATAATAAGTATTTGTCGTATGAAAAGTATAGTATGC